GCAGGCAGAACTGAAATGTATTTGTACAAGGACCTTCAGGAGTCCTCATGGGCTTTGGAAAGGATGCTCACAGGTCCTCGAAACATACCCCCCTCCAAAGATGGAGGACAGAGATTCCCCCTTCCCATCCACCAGGGAGTTGGCAAGGTTGCAGACTGAAGGCACCTGCATCCGACCTTGGAATTCTCTGGGAAGAGGCCCCTGCTTGCACTGGCTGGTGCTGCCCCATGAACTTCACCTTGCTGATCCTTCTTTACCTCCACCTGCTGAGTCAAGCAAATGCTCCGTTGTTTGTCCCCTCTGCCACTGCATTGCACAATGAATGTCTGAACCAAAGGGAGCAGTCCCTGAAGTTTTGATTTTGTATCCTACTACAATTCCTGGAACTAGGATTTTTTTTTTTAATTTAACCTTTATTTTATTTATTTGCTTTTTATGTGGTACTGAGGATTGAACCTAGGGCCTCATCTGTGCTAGGCAAGCATTCTACCAGAGCTACAACCCCAGCCACTGGAACTAGGCTTTTAATATAATCGTGTGTGTGAGGACAGAAATATTCTGTTTGTGCTGTCCAATATGGTGGCTGTTAGCCACAGGTGGCTATTGAGCACTTTAAAAATCGTTAGTGCAGCCAAAGAGTTGCAAAATAATTTAAATAACTGTGGGTAGCTAGTGGCTACCTTAGTAGGCAGCACAACTCTAGAGAACAGAACTTTACTGGTCTCCCAGGAAACAGAAACTAGTGAAAACAAGAACTGGGCTTGCAATACCTCATGGAGCAGGGTATGTGTGTTGAAAATATATCTTCGGCAGGAAGATGGCCCACCCTCAATGGAGGACATTTCCTTCCATCCTGCATCCAGGTGGCTCAATGCAGTTCACCTGCCAAACTGGGTGACACAGTTGGCAGATGATTGCTAAATGTGGTTCTTGGTGGAAATCCCTGTGGACTCTTACATTTGCCTCCACTCCTTCCTTTCCCTTCAGAACCTCAGAGTGACAGAGCCCAAAGGTCAGATTCATTTTGCTTATATGGAAAATAATTGCTTGTGGTTAGTTGGAGAGGCAGAGCCAAGGGGGTGTCTGGTGTTTCCTGGTTAAGATTTTCTTTAGTGATTCTGTGAACATTTCCCTCAAAATGGAGTAGAAATTCTAAAAAATGGTGACACACTGTAGTCCCAGCTGCTTGGGAGGCTTGAGGCAAGAGAATAGCTTGAGCCCAGGATTTGTCTCAAAAAACAAAACCCCAAACCATCCAACCAAACAAAGGACTAGCAATGTAACTTTCTTTGCCCAGACTACAGTTCTTACAGTAAGAAAACCCTTTCTGTGAACTTGAGATGGTGGCTAAGTTGCCCTAGTAGGATGTTGGTGCTGTTATACCTACTGTCTCTGAGCTCTGCTCTGTACTGTTCAGGCTAGAAGTCTGCAAACTCCACTTCCCATAATTTCTTTGCCAGTTTCCTTCCAAATAAGTTTGCAAGTGGAAGTCGGGGAAGAGGTAGGGACTCATTTCTTGTTTCCAGCCAGGATCTGAATCACTCTATCAGCATCAGGCAACTATGATGCCAGCCTCATTGTGGGTTCTCTGAGGTACCACTATACTGCCTGTTGTCCCTTCAGTGGCCTGAACATGAGCTGATTCTCACCCTTACTTTGTTCATGGCTACCTTGAAGGAAAACTACATTTTTCAGCTCTCTTTGCAACTATATTAGGTCATATGGGAAAGTTCTGGCCAATGGCAATGGAGAAAAAGTGATGTGTATAATTTCAGTGCCAGGTCTTGAAAGGAAGGGATGAGCTCATCCTCTTCCCTTTCCCTTTCCTTTCTTGGAAATGTGGATGTTGATAGTGATCATCTTTGACCATGAAAACCAGAAACACCATTGAGTATAGTGAGGGAATTAGGTAGGAGAGGCTGGGAGCTGATGTTATGGAGCCTCCATACTGGATAGATTATGCTTGAACTCTTAGAGAAATAAACTTTTACTTTTTGAAGACAGTGTTGTTTAGAATCTGTTAACACCACCCATCTGTATTCTAAGGTGTGACCCATGAAAATTAGACATGGCGGCCCCACTACAAAGGAGCTCACAGGCACCTGCACCTGCTCTTACTGAGGCCACTGAGATCCTCCTCACCACTAAGCCCAGGAGGCATTTTTCAGCCTGTTTTACTAAATCTTTCAGTGGTACTTGGCATTTATTCCTTCTCAAAACCCTGCCTTCCCTGGGCTCTGTGGCATCCATACACTTGACTTTGCTCCTACATCTCCGACCTTTCTTTCTTAGTTTGTTTTGCCTATTCTTCTGCATGTCAATGAAGTGTTGGTTATGATCCTCTTTTTGTCTCTTTCTACTCACGATCTGAGTGATTTCATTTACCATCTTGAAGCTGAGAACTTCTGGAATGTTTGTCCAACCCAGATCATTGCTCTCAGCTCTAGACTCCTATGGCCAATTGCTTAATGGAAACCTCCTCTGGCATACCTCATAGGCCCATTAAACCAAACCTCTCTCTCCTTGCGCTCCTGTCTCTCCTGTCTAAGCCTGTTCTTCCTCCTGGGTTCTCAGGCTGTGGCAGCCCCATTGACCACACAGTTGCTTAGTTTGAAACTTGCAGTCATCTTGATTCTCAGTCTTTTGCCCACATCCAGGCAAAGTATTGATTCCGTTGACCTGCTCTTTTAGGTGTCTCTCAAACCTGTCCACATGTCCCCATTCTCACTGCCCTCGACACCCCTCCATTCCCTTATTTCCCAGCCCTGTGGCCCCAGCCATTCTTCTATAGCAGAGACATCCTTCAAAACCTTGTACCATCTTCTCAATATCCTCAATATTAAGCAAAAATACTTTGATTTACAAGGCCCTTCATGGTCTGGTCCTTGTCATCTCCTTATTCTGCAGGTCCAGTCCTACACAGTTCCAAGACCAGCCCCCTTCATACACTGCTCCTTCTGCAGGCAACCCTCCTGCTTCTCATAAGCAAGCTCCCTGTGGTTTCCTCTCAGGTTCAGCTTGGGCAGCCTGCTTCCCAGAACCTTTGCTGCCTGCAGGCTTAGGGTGGCTGTGTCCCCTTGCTGTGCCCCAGCAACTCAGGCTGGCCCATGGCCATGGAATCCTCCCCACGGTACACAGCACTCTGTCTCTTGTAGGGTACCTTGAACCTGGAATGCAGGAATAGTACTGTCCTTCCCACCTTTGTCTTTCTGACCCCTAACTCAGTGGTGCCTGGCCCCAAACTGGACAAGGCACTTAACATTTCTGATCCAGGAAAAAAATAGAGGAAAAGTATCAATTTCCTAGGGCTGTGTATTTATGTATTTATTTTATAATGAAATAAATAGGCAAGTCTCTTGTTCAAAGACCTGGCTTGGTAAATACAAGTTCCCTTTTCTTTTTCGATTTTGGTACCAGGGATTGAACTCAGGGGCACTTAACCTCTGAGCCACATTCCAGCTCTATTTTGTATTTTATTTAGAGACAGGGTCTCACTGAGTTGCTTAGTGCCTCACTTTTGCTGAGGCTGGCTTTGAATTTGTGATCCTCTTGTCTCAGGCTCCCAAGCCACTGGGGATGCAGGTGTGTGTCACTGTGCCCAGCAGTTCCCTTTTCTTATCTCCCTATGCAGAAAACAGGAAGGTAACTGATTATAGAAGGGAGAGGGTTGGCATCCAGATATTTCCCAGTTGCCCAGTGGATGTTGAAATGTCACAGGAATCACAGGCGTTAGAATGGAAAGGAAGGTGAGGACCCTCTGACATCTTCATGCATCCATCACATGCTTGGGCCATAGTGGAGACCCCAACAGGGAGGAGAGCTGCTGGGTGAGCTGGACCCAGCGCCCTTCACTGTCGGAACCTAGCTCTTGGGTCTTGGCTGGAAGCGGGGCAATTGGAAGCCCTCTCTCCAAAAACTCCGTTGGCAAAGTGTTCTTTCAAGTACTGGATGAGGTTCATAGGTGGATCATGAAATCAACTTAGTAGCTTTGTCTAGCACTAAAACAAAACAAAAACTCAAATGGAAAATGATACCGTATATTATACAGTGTGGTTTTATGAAAATTCTTGTTCCATTCTATCACATGATATCAGGAAGGCCCCTGCTCTAGACAGAGGAGGTATATTTGGTGGCTTTGGCCAGCAGGTTGGGAGAGGACTGGAGAGTGAGTTCATAGATTGTAATAGGAGGGGCCTTCAATGTATGTGACTTAATACTGTCTCTAGGACACCTGGAAGGAAAAGGATGGTGCGGGAGGGGGATGTGGAGGCAGAAGGAAGCCTTTGCAGACTTGGCACAATTATGGCGGTGACTAAGGTGGTACTGAAAGGAAGTTCACAAAAGCACCTGGGCAGAGCAATTACCTGGAAGGAGCAGTTTCCCCTGAAGAAGCAAGAGGGGCTACCTGGTCCCGTTATCCTCATGAAATGCCTTTAATTATGGTGACACCTTGCAATGGTGCAACAAATTACACTTTCTAGAGTCCCCAGCTCTGCTTACTTCTGGGAGGTCAGGGGAGGGTATCATTAACTCATATCAGAGATGGGGAAATGGAGGAGCTGAGTGGTGATGCCAGGCCTCCTCATTTCTCAGCGGGCACCCTGCCCACCTCCCTATGATGTGAGTGTGATGGTGCAGGTTCAAGACCCTGGCTGCCCATTAGAATTACCTGGGCAACTTCTGTAAAAGTTCCCAGTGCTTTCCCATGATATCGAAATCTCCAGAATCTCCAAGGTTGGGCCTGGCCTCTTTCAAAGCTTCATTTGGAGAATCAAGGGCAAGTGTGCAGTGGGCAGTTGGGTTGAAGAGCAGGGCCACGGTCCCCCACCCAGGCTCAGGCCACTCTGGCCTGGTTGATGCACAGGCTCAAATGGAGTCACTGTTTTGCAGAGTAAGTCCCCTGTGGGGTTGCCACATATCTCCAGGGACCTCCAGAGAGGAGGTGTGAACAGGAAGATGGGGAGGCAGGCGGTTCTGACAGGCAGAAAGCAAACAGCTCACAGGGGTGGCAGGCTGCATTTTATTCATCGTTAATTTAAACACCCTTCAAGTCCTCTCTTGAAGTGCCGCTTAGAAAAAGAAACGTGTTGTTGAAGAAGCCCTGCATGCTCCACCCCCCTCCTGAGAGACCGAGTAGCATAGAAAATGAGTTGTAAAGCAGGGGCAGCTTCCTCTGGGAGGAAAGGGAGGGGGCCAGGCGAGTCCAGACCCCTCATGGCTTCTCAATGCACGTGATGAGGCTGGCTTTGCTCTGCGTTGCATGAAAGATATCACAGAGTGATGTCACACCCTGGGGTGCCCGAGGGTGACAGAGCTCCTCCAGGAGTCCAGGCTCCAAGTCCCCCGCTGCTGAACCTGCTGGGAGTCAGGAATGGCTTCATTAGTCCCTCCCACCCCATAGGAGGAGCTTTAGGAATCACCAAGGCCAGGGTTATTCAACTGCTGTAGCAAACAGAGCCCCGCAGAAGTGCCCTCAGCTGCAGTCTGGATGTGCTTTCCAGGCGGTGATGTAGAATTGTGCTTTTTATTTTTGAGAGTGTAAAAGGTTACAGTAAGATGAAACTGCATGGCCCACAGCTCCTCGGTGGCCTCTGTGGACTGTCTTCTGCCTCCGTTTCCCGTGAAGGCTCAGCCACTCCTCACCCCAGAGCCTGCAGGAAGAGGACTCTGCTAGAAGGCTTGAGGGACAGAGGCCCCCGGGTCAGCTGCTGCTCAGGACGTGGCTTGATTTTGGGTGCTGGCTTCTGTGTAAAACAAACACATGCACATGGTACATAAAGCTCCGCCAAGGCAGAGAGGGGCTTCCCAGGTCCTAGCAGACCTCTAGAGAATCAAACATGAACCATCTTTCTTCTTAAAGCAGCCCAGACTGATTTTTCCTTGCAGAGAAGGGCTAATAGCTCTTTGTAAGGCTGATGTGTGTGCAGGTACACCTGTCCCAGGGCTGTCTGACCTTTTCCACAGGCTGAGGGTTGAGACTCCCTGAGCCTTAGGACTCCTTCACCAGGCCTGGGCCTCCGGCTTCACTCAACAGAATGAAGGAATCTGTCACCCAGCATTAGCAAGCAGGTGCACCACAGTGGCTTCTTAACCTGTCTCTGAGAGGGCCCAGCACCAAGACCCTTCTTGGCCACAGCTAAAATGGCAAGGGCTTCTTGGAGTCAGGCTGCCTTGATGGAGCCCCATAGTTCAGCCTGAGATGGGTGAGTGTGGGCCTGAGGTTAGGAACAGCTCCCAGAGCCTGTGCAAGTTGCAGGTTGAAGTGAGCTACCAGCTGTGGGTCAATCTAGAGAGCCCTTGGCATCTGACAGAATCGAACCCTTCTTAGCCCAAAGTTGGAAAGAAACTGCATGAAGGAAAGGGATCCCTATCAATGTCATTGTTCCTGAAATTATGTGAAGACCCCATCCCATCCCTGCTTCTCATTTTAGGCCCTCAAGCAGGATATTAACCAAACATCTTTTAGGGGTGGGTTAGTAGAATGTCCCACCCAGTCCTCTGGCCCAGCTTTTGAAGGCAACAGCCCTAAGCCTTTTGGTCTAAGGGGAAGGACAATGATGTGCTATACCCTCCAGTGTCACTGAGACTGGGGTAGAGGGATGGGGACTTGGGGGAAAATGCGCATGTGGTCCTGGATCCTGAGCTACCACCATACTTGGAGGATTAATGTTTCTCTGGGAAGTTGGGAGGCTTATGGCTCCTTTACAAATTTGCTCAGTTGGGCCCAACTGCCTCCCTCCAAAGCAAAAACATAGGGAAGGAAGAGAAAACATCTAAGGCTGGAGCATAAGCAACTTAGGATTGACTCTAGGAAGCACTATTGACAGAGGAAACTGCCAAGGAATGTTTTGTATTTCTCTTCTCTGGAGGCAGAGCCGTCCCTCCCAGGGGGACAGGATTCCATCATTGCTGTGCACCTGTTGGTGGGATGGAAACTTGGTAGCTGGGCCTTTGCCCCTCTGTGCTGTTGCCCAGGGCTCCATGGCCCTAGGTAGGCTGCTATTTTGCCTGTAACTGAGTTCTTATGTCCAGATGCCTCTACCCTGGGGATCTTTACTTCCTCCCCTGGATAGCTCAGATCTCCAAGTTATTTCCCGTTGCCTAGGTGACATCTCTAATTGGATGCCTTTTAATGGTTCCTTCTTTAAAAGAGATGAACCTGGCACTTTATTTCCAAGTCACACTAGACATGTGTCTCTCTGAGCGCATGCAGTCCCTTTTGTGTGAATACAGCCAGCATTCAGATGGGTGTTCACAGGGCTGACCTGACTGACAATCATGGTGGATCCCAGAAGCTGAACTCTTGGAGGAGCTTACCTCTCAGGATTTAGCAAGACTGACTCCCCTCCTGGTCAGCCCTGCCTCACTGGCTTCATCTCAGATGAAGTCCTATGTTTAAAAACCAACCCCAACCCAAGTTAAGAATTACCCAAAGTAACTGGAGAGTGCCTGAGATCTCAGCTAATTTTTTTCCTTCTTGCCATAAACCTGAAGGGGAGAGAGGAGTTTGATATTCAACATGATTCTTAATGCTGTGTGTACATGAGTGTGCAGGTGTGCATATTTGGGTGTAGGTATGAGTGTGTAAGAGTCTGTTCCTGTGTGTGCTCTAGACACAGTTGCCAGGGAGGGAGATGTCATAGCATCCCTGCAGCTGGTGGTGAAGTGGTACTTTTCTAAGACTTCCCAACAGAAATAGTATATAGCCTCAAGCCACCAACTTTTCAATGAAGCCTGAATATAGAGGGGGCTCTTCTGGGAGAATCTGTCCCTCAGCTTGAGGATCATCCAGACCATAATTTTAATCCAAAAATTACTCTAATCCATAGGTTCCCCCAGCTCCCTTCCTCCTGTCTTTCTCCACCTTTGATGCAAACTGTGCATGAGAAAACAAAAACAAAAACTGATTTGAGGGGCACATAGGATTTAGAATGGAACTCTGCTACTGCTGACCCCAAATACCTTATGAGCACTGAAGCCAAATGCTCTGACATTTGCAGGAAGGCTACTTTGGGTTTATGGTGACACAGGCCCTGGGTCCCCAAGGGAGTAGCTGGCAGAGCCCTAACTTGGGAGGAGGAGGGATACTAGGGGGCCATGCTCTGCACCAACAGGCTCTCTAATAATGGTAAAATGTCAAACTGTCAACAGTAGTTAAAAAAAGAAGAAGAAAATGACAACAATAACAAAAAATCTTGTCTGAGAAGAATCAAATATTCCTGGTTAATAATGAAGAAGAGCATTCCTATATGTGGATGAAGCTTGTGAATGAAAGGAGGGTTGGGGGACTTAACATGTGCCTCAGAGATGAGCCAGCTGAAGCAGAGCAGGGCTCCTGCAGTCTGAGAGCCCGGCTCCTGCGGGCCACCCTGGGCTTTCCACCATTAGAAGTAGCTGCCCGGTGTGTTGTGCTAAGTGGACTCACTCCAGGCTGAGAAAGGCCAGCTAAGCCCCTTACCATTTGCAATTTCCAAATCTGGGGGAAATGCCACAGTCTGCAAGTTGGTGCTATGTTTCATCTCATTGCATAATACTACACCATTCTCCGTGTGTAGTGGCTGTTCTATATATATACATGGGGAGGCAACATATGGCTCTCCCCACCCCCACCTGTCAAAACTGTGACTATATCACTTCTGACGACCAGAAGGAAGCTGCTAGGCTGGGCCAGGATTCTAAATGCTGAGGAGGTAATTCAGAGCCATGAAAAGCTGCACCATATGCTTTGGGGTTGCCAGCTGCTTATGTGCATGGGGAAAGGTTTAGTGCCAGTCAGCAGACCCCGAGAATGGCATTCTCCTTGCTGCAGTGTGCACTGAATGGGGGTCTGGGGTGTCATTGTTTTCTCTCTCTGGAGAAAAATCTGTTGGGGGCCACGGTTCTCCAAGAGGGGACTCACAAGGGACACAGGCTCCTCCAAAACCTGTCCTTGATAACATCAGGCCTGGCCAAATAGTATTTCTTTTTTAAAAAATAATTTTTTTTTGGTTTCATTTTATTGGATAAAGATTAAGAAAGCGCCAGCTCTGAGAGAAGTGAAGCCAATCACGCCCGGTGGCCCCGCAGCCTGGGGAGGGTCCACGGCGTTGGCAGGCAGGCGGGTGGTCTACCTGGAGGAACTGGTCTCTGCCAGCCGGTTGTTCATGATGCCCAGCGCGCCCACGCCGCCCGAGAAGCCGTTCTGGCGCGTGTTGACGCAAACGCTGCGCGGGTAGCCGTTGGCCGTCTCCGACAGCTGCTTCTGCAGCAGCGCCAGCGACACTTTGTTGGAGGCCGTGAGGTCGCGCATGGAGATGAGCTCGCCCGACAGGCGGCGGCCTTCGGTGTCGCTGTCGCGGGCCGCGGGGTCTGCGCCGAGCGCGGCCAGGCGGCGACGCAGCCGCGAGCCCGGTGTGATGGCGTTGCGCCGGGCCAGGGGCGCGCCGGTCGCGGGGCAGCAGTGCGCACAGCAGCGGCAGCTCAGCTTGCGCAGCATCCAGTTGAGCACCTGCTTGATGAGGATGGAGATGACGTTGAAGAGGGAGTAGATGCAGCACACGCCGAGGAGAATGAAGAGGAAGTTGCCCAGGCGGTAGAGCCCCTGGTTCCGGTAGGCGGCGTGCTGGCTGCTCACCAGGTCCCCGAAGCCGATGGTGCTGAAGGTGACGAAGCAGAAGTAGAGCGAGTCCACGTAGTCCCATCCCTCCACGCTGGTGTACATGGCTGAGGCGCAGCACGACAGCAGCACGGCGAACAGGCCCAGGATGAGCAGCACGTGGTACACCGAGGGCTTCCAGCCCGCCAGGCTGTCGGCCTCCGAGAGCGCAGAGCCTCGGCGGAAGGTGGCGGGCAGCAGGCCGCTGCGGCGCAGCTGGCGCTCCCGGCACGTGCGCATGATGAAGGCCAGCAGCGAGATGATGCGTTCCAGAAAGAGGTTGAAGAAAAGGATGGTCCCTGCGCAGCCAAACAGCCCATAGGCGATGAGGAAGGCCTTCCCACCCACTGTGGCAGGGGTGGTCATGCCGAAACCTGTGGAGACACAGCGCGGGTCAGCAAGGGCAGGTGGACCCTACCAGGTGTGGGTGTGTGGCAGGTGAATGCAGGTGCTGAGTGGGCAGCTATTGTGAGTGGCTCCACTTAGGTGTGTACTTTTGTCTCCCTTGGAGATTGATACTAGATCGGGTTCCTCATGTTGGCAACCCCCAAACTATAAATGAACATGGTGGAGCAGGATCATTAGGAAGGACCCAGTCCTCAGGACACACAAACCAGAAACCACTGCTCAGGTGCAAATCACTGACATGCCCAAAAGCCAACAAGTGACACCTGTTTTCCCACCCGCCAAACTGATTTAAAAATATATATTTATTTTTTAGTTGTAGGTGGACACAATATCTTTATTTCATTTTTATGTGGTGCTGAGGATTGAATCCAGTGCTTTATAAGTGCTAGGTGAACACTCTACTACTGAACCACAACCCCAGCCCCTCAAAACTGATTTTTTTTTTTAATGAAACTTTAGCATACCTGAGTAGACAGCCTTGTTAGAATTCCATGCAACCTTCACTGTCATTGGGATTGCTCACTCTGGAACAAGGTAGACTGTACTCAGGTGGCTACAGTTTATGGTCTCTGAAACAGGATTTATGAAGCAGACAAAAGGATCATGGGAAAGTGAGTCCACCCACAGCCTTCAGAGTGCCAGCATGACTCTGCCATGGGGGGTCAGCTTCTATTCTTACAAGGATCATTATCAATCACCCTTGTGCACTGTTATGGTTCAGTTGTGTCTCCCAAAAGCTTAATGTGTGTGACATTGCAAGAAGGTTCAGATAAGCAATGATTGGGTTGTGAGAGCTTAACCTATCAGTGATTTAATCCCCTGATAGGGATTAACTGAATGGTAATAGGGTATGGCTGGAGGAGGTGGGAATTGGGACATGGCTTTGGGGTATATATTTGTATCTGGTAAGTGGAGTCTCTCTCTCTGCTTCCTGATCTCATGTGAGCTGCTTCCCTCAGCCATACTCTTCCACCATGATGTTCAGCTTTCTCCTCAAGCCCCAAGGAATAGAACAGGTCTTCTAAGGACTAAGACCTCTGAAACCGTGAGCCCCCAGATAAATTTTTCCTCCTCTAAAATCGTTCTGGTCAGATCCTTTAGTCATGGCAGTGAAAAAGCTGACTAAAACACACCCTGTGGCCAAGGATGAAGATCTGGGCCCAGCTGCTGATTGTGTGTCTAGGATTGGTCCTGGGAGGTCTGACTTGTACCTGGGCAGCTGCTTATTGCTTTAAAATCTTATATAACTATTAAGTTACCCATTTGTTCAAATCACAGGCTTTAAAGGAGTCTTTATCAATTGATTTCTACAGAAGGCCTGGCTGCCCATCTGTGCACTCACCCCAGACATCCTGGGCAGTACAGAGAGGCGAATCTGCTCCTGCAACCTGAGCTCTGTCTGAGCTAGCTGTGGTCTCTCTGTGGGACCCAAGAGGAGGGGATTTAATCTCTTGACAGGAAGAATCACTAGTTGTTTGGAGCCTGAGCTGAAAATGGACCCCCTGTCTAAGAAGCACCATGGTGCATTTCGGTAGCTGTGGCAGCAAAACTTCAGGGGCATTTCTGTCCAATTCATGCCCAATCGCAGGAAGCCAAGCTGCCCATGGAGTAGGACAACCCTGGGAAAGGGGCAGAGAAGAATTTGGTCCCATTTGGCTATTTTTCCTAAACAGACAGAGAAAACATCTCTTGTAATTTTTCATAGTACATTTCTTAAACCTATATTCTAATCATTCTCTAGATTCCCTGAGGAAATGCCTAAATGCCTGACTATGGTGTTCATTTATGTTTAATGACTCAAGTTTGGGGGAAATCTTATGCTATTATCCATGTTAAAGAAGATGGGTTATGTTCTTACATGCACACTTTGTCCACAGAAGAGTGAAAAACAAAAACAAGCAAACAAAAACAACAGTGAAAACCAACCCCAAGCTAGCAGTTTACTCAGGAACTTGAGAGAAGGATTGTTATATTGAAAAGCCATACTCAAGTCCTTGATTCATTAAGAAATCACCTCTGGGCTGGGCAGGGTGGTGCATGCCTGTAGTCCCAGCCAGTCAGGAGGTTGAGTTAAGAGAGTCAAAAGTTTGAGGCCATTCTCAGCGACTTAGTGAGCAACTTAACAAGATCCTCTCCCAACAGCAAATAAAAAAGGACTAGGGATTAGTATGTAGGCCAGAGATAAAGCACCCCTGGATTCAATCCCTAGCAACCACCAAAAAAGAAAGAAATCATCTCTAAATCTATATGGCTTCATGTGGAGTGGGAGTATGAGTTTGTATTTTTAAAAAGTTCTAGCTTTTTAGCCAGAGTGACCAGCAACAGAAGAGAATACTATACAGCCATAAAAATGCAAACCACACCACAGCTACTTACAGCAACATGGATGAGTCTCAAAAAAAAAAGAATGTTGAACAAAAGAAGCTGGACACTTAAGAATACATTCTGCAGGCTGGGATTGTAGCTCAGTGGTAGAGCACTTGCCTAGCATGTAGGAAGTCCTGGGTTTGATCTCCAGCCCCATATAAAACTAAACTACAACTAAAAATATTAAAAACAAACACCAAACCCCCCAAAAAAGAATACATTCTGCATTTTCCCACTAATATAACATCTAAGACCAGGTTAAAAACACACTAAAATCTCAGATTTTTTTTAGGGAAATATACTTCATTGGTCAAATTATTTTTATTGTTTGTGGTACTGGGGATTGAATTCAGGAGCACTCTACCACTGAGCCACATTTGTAGCCCTTTTTATTTTTTATTTTGAGATAGGGCCTCACTAAGCTGCCAAGACTGAGCTTGAACTTGCAATCCTGCCTCAGCCTCTCATGGTGAGATTGCAGGTGTGTGCCTTGTGCCCTGTGGCTTATAAGAAAAAAACAAAAAAGATGGTACACACAGGCTCCACTCAACAGACAAGGAAACTGCTGCTGGAAATGGAACTGAGACTGAAGCCCACGTCTGCTGACATCTGTAGTCCATGCTGCCCACCACATAAGACTGTCCCTCGGAGCTGTCCTAAGACAGCTCCACTATCTTGGGGAACCAAATCGCAGTCCTCCAGGGCTGCTGCCAGGAGAGTATTTTCACGGGGGAGTGGCTGTTCCCAAGTCCTCTGTTATGGCTCTTTGTACTGATCACTGCTGCCTCGTTGGCCAGGATCAGGACCCTGCTTTTTCTTTAATGTTCCTGCTGATTTGGGTTCATTGACTGAGAGAATCTGACCATTTAGATGAGCCTGACCCAGGGCCTAGGGATAGCACATGGGAGAAGATGCGAGGGGACTGCAGCTCCTGGTAACAGCCTGATTGACCCCAGGTGGGGTACTTATCTGACCCTTGGGGTCCCCACAGTTATGCCCTGCCTGACCTACTTCCACATGGCCAAGGCTGTTTCTTCTACCACCAGGGGCATTCTCAGACTCCAGAATCCTCCATGCCTCGACATCTTCTGCCTAAGGCCTCCTTTGGAGTTTGGGTTTCCGGTTGAAGATCTGCCTTTTGCCTGGATGACTGAACCTAGGAGATCTGCCTCTCCATCCACCATTCTACCCAACTCCCTGCCACATGGGGTGGCCTTATCAGTACCTCAGCAAGATGACAATGCCAGATATGCAGCTGTTTACCCCAATCTCCACCCATCGTTCCTTTAGTGAACATTTATTAAGAACCAAGATTGGCAGCGGCTCAGAGAGATGGTGGGAAGCCAGACAGATGCTGCTCCTGTCCTCACAGACAATCTGGGCTGCCTGCTTGGAGGTTCCTTGCAACATTTCTTAGGGTTTTGTACAGAAACCCCATCTATGCTACCAGCAGGCTCATCCCTGAGACAGAGCACAGCTCTTCCCGGCTGTCCCACATAGTCTTGGCTAGAATTCATCCTGGGGTCTTGTGGCTCTGGCTCAGCTTGCATTCTGCACACCCCTTAGTCAAGTGGTGATTGCAGGCCCCACATGAAGCCAGAAGTGTGATCAGATGTGTGGTATTCTCTAGAATGAAGGGGACAGACAGGTCTGGAGTTATCTCTGACAGAGCAGAAAGCATCCAGTGAAAGTGTCCCTCTTACTACCTGATTCCTGAGGTCTGGCTCCTGCGTCTTTCCTATATAGAGTCCTATATAGCTCAGGAGACAGGCAGGGAATGGACAGTCCATTCTCTTTCCCCATCGATATCAATAGGCACCAACTTCAGGATGCCGAGGTCCCAGGTCAGGTCTGTGTGGTTCCGCTGCTTAGTCAGTTGCCTTCCAGAGTTGGGGAGTAGCCCCCTAAGCTCTGAGAACTTGTGAGAATCCAGATGGGATCTAGAGAGAGGCCTTGAAGCTTCAGCCAGGGAAAAGGTAAACCCTGCCACCCTGAGAATCTCCTCCTCCCAGTAACACCCTGCAGAGGTGTAATCAGTCCCTGGGTTCACAGCACGCCTGTGATTTTGTTTATGCCACAATTGATCTGCCATTCCAGTCTGCAAAGAGCAGACACTTGGGGGCTTTATTATGCCACTTTAACAAAAGCTGTGAAGTTGTTCCCACAGCCTGTCTGGTGCTGCCTTCGCAAATAGGTCCTGGTGACAGGGCCCTTGGAGTTCAGCTCAAGGAGCCTGGGAGTGAGACAGGATGCATTGTGCACCCCTGGGTGGCAGCCTCTGTTGGACATTCACCATGCTTCTATTCAGTTTCCCAACCTCCTACGAAGAAGGCACTGTCACATCAGCCACTTAGCAAGCGAGTGGGCCAGAGAGGCAAAGGTTGTCACCAGGTTAGCTTGCAAGAGGCTGAGCAGCCCATGCCCTTTCGGCTGGGCCAGACAGATGGGAAGTCTTGGCTCATTACCCTCTGGGTCCTTTTCCTGCTGGGCCCCGCACTGTCAACTCCAGGGAGGGAATATAATTTATAGTCCAATCTGAAGTATTTTTGAAAGTAAAACTGGCACTACTCATAATTACTCCAGGATGCATGTGTGAACC